TATATATATATATATATATCTAGAATTTTTTGTCGATGTTAACGGGATCCGATGACTCCTCTTCTCTTTACATAGGTCCACCTCAGCATAAAATAGATAATTTTATTGTAGAAATTGGTAAGTCAAGAGGGGTGAAAGGGGGATGGAGAGTTGGCTCAACAGAATAACTAATAAGAGTGTGCCTGAATTAAGATTAATAACTTGACCGATTGGTTTGAGAGAGAATCACAGAGCGATAGAATAAATAAAAAAAACTATATTTAAAAAGAGCTTACAATTAGTCCTAATATTATGTGAAAAACTATGAGGATTCTGTTGAATACTTTAAGATAAGGATTAGTCTGGAATCCTGGTAAAACCCTGTGAGATTTGTATACAATCAATGGATATGTATATATTTAACAAATGTAAATAAATGTTTCATTGCAGATCCCAATGTTTACCAGAATTGGTATAAATGCTGGTGCAAAATGTATTACTGTAGAAGGTTGGTTAGACATACAGGGACAACTACCATTTCTTTAGGCATTAGATGGAATAAAGAAAAAGAGGTAGTAAGTTAGTAACATGCATGGCCATAATTGAAACAAAGTAAAAAATGATATTATGATACAACAAATTCCATTGTCTCCCTCCAAAGAAAGAATATAAAAGTAATTTGAAGAATCCAATCTATCTACCAATCTCTCCATAAGTTCATCAATATTCCCTCTATATAAATCCCAAGAAATCTCCTTTTAAAAGCAACCCTTTATCTCCATACTGACAGAGCTTAGAGAAATGGACAGTAAGTTTCACTTTTTTCATTATCTCCAATTCTTGTTGCTGCTATCTTCTTCTTGCTTCTCACTTGTTTCTTTTTCTTGGATTCCATACAATGAAAATAAGAACTATGAAGGATCTTCTGATCTTGTTAATCTTGAATACCATATGGGCCCTGTTCTTTCTTCTCCTATTAAACTTTATGTAATATGGTATGGTCAATGGAACCCTTCTCATCAAGCAACCATTAGAGACTTTCTCAACTCATTTTCTTCTTCTTCTTACGCACCTCATCCTTCTGTTGCTGATTGGTGGCGAACCGTTCGACTTTACACAGATCAAACTGGCCAAAACATCTCAACCATTTCACTGTCTGGTGAATTCTTTGACTTCAAGTACTCACAAGGAAAGTACCTTAGCAGATTATCTATGCAATATGTGATTAAAAATGCAGTCAGATCATACCTAAAATCTCTACCTTTGAATTATAGGAATGGAGTTTACTTAGTGTTAACATCTTATGATGTTCAAGTTCAAAATTTTGTAGAGCTGTATGTGGTTTTCATTATTTCACATTCCCATCAATTCTTGGAGTGACAGTGCCTTATGCTTGGGTAGGTTATAGTGGGAAACAATGCCCTGGTTTCTGTGCTTATCCTTTTGCTTGGCCTAAGAATTCAGGGAAACCACCACCAAGCACAATAAATGGAGGAAACAGCTTAATGGGAGCACCAAATGGCGATCCGGGGGTCGATGGAATGATCAGTGTGATAGCTCATGAGATTGCTGAGGTCTCAAGTAACCCTCTTGTGAATTCTTGGTATGCTGGGGATGATCCTATTGCACCTACTGAGATTGCTGATTTGTGCTTAGGTGTTTATGGGACTGGTGCTGGTGGTGGATTTGTTGGGCAAGTGTATAAGGATTCATGGGGCAATGGTTTCAATTTGCATGGAGTTAAAGGGAGAAAATTTCTTGTTCAGTGGGTTTGGAACCCTCTTAGGAGGAGATGCTTTGGTCCTAATGCCATGGATTAAGTCAGTCATGATTGACTAGCTAAAAGGATGTTCTTCTTGTACAGAGTTGTTTTCAAGCTAAATTATTCCCCTTTAAAGTATTTTTGCTTTATGTAATTTCTTTCTTTTCCCCAACTGTTCTGCTAATTACTAGAGTCATTTTTTTGTTTCCAACTGTGCATTCTGCATACTTCATTCACCATAACTTTCTTTAGTCCTGCTTTCAAATTATTAAATAATGCTAATCAATTCACATGGTGGTAGTATAAAGGTGACTTGCTAACAAATAAATAAGATTGGCCTACAGACAGAAACAAAAGGTTGCTTCCTGTTATCTTTATTCTACTCTTATTATAACAAGCCTTCTCCAAATTCTATTGGAGTGAACTTTCTGGATTCAGCCTTACTTCAAAGTTCAGCTTGGTGACCAATTGAATTCTTATCTTCTTGAGTGCCAAAAGAGCTTCTTTCATTTTGATTCTTGCATCTGGTGACACTGAAGTGCAGCTTAAAGCCAATTCCATGACAGAAACCAAGCATTGCATCTCTGCATTTAGAGGTTCTTCCTTTGGTCTCATCAAATCTGCATCCACTAGTTGTGTAACTCCAGAAGGAAGCGAGTCGTTTACCCATTGTTTTAGGCTCAAATCTCCAGTAAACATTTCATCACTAGGCCTCCTCCTTGTGAATGTTTCCATCATCACGATACCAAAACTGTAGACGTCACAACTTGTTGATACAAGTCCATCTTGTCCATACTCTGCAACGACAAGTGAGAAATCATCAGTTCAAAGTATTTCATAATAGTTCGACAGATAAATGATGATGTGAGAAAGATAAAGGCAATAGGAGAAATTTAGGTACCTGGCGCAATGTATCCAATGGTCCCAATAGTGTTAGTTTGTCTAAAACTATCCTCTGCACCTAACAATTTCGCAATCCCAAAATCACTTAAATGCCCAACCATATTTTGATCTAGCAAAATGTTGCTAGGCTTCAAATCACAATGCACCACTGGCTCTGAATAACCGTTATGGAGATAGTCCAAGGCAGATGCTACATCTACCATTATGTCCAACCTATGCAACATGTCTAAGAATAAGTCATGAGAGTGTAACCATTTGTCTAGGGTGCCATTTGGCATGTACTCTAATATTAAGGCCTTGAACTTAGAGTTGGAACAAGAAGTTATGACTTTGGTCAGGTTCCTATGGCGAAGGTTGCGTAAGATCTCACATTCTGTGTCAAANTAACAAATAAATAAGATTGGCCTACAGACAGAAACAAAAGGTTGCTTCCTGTTATCTTTATTCTACTCTTATTATAACAAGCCTTCTCCAAATTCTATTGGAGTGAACTTTCTGGATTCAGCCTTACTTCAAAGTTCAGCTTGGTGACCAATTGAATTCTTATCTTCTTGAGTGCCAAAAGAGCTTCTTTCATTTTGATTCTTGCATCTGGTGATACTGAAGTGCAGCTTAAAGCCAATTCCATGACAGAAACCAAGCATTGCATCTCTGCATTTAGAGGTTCTTCCTTTGGTCTCATCAAATCTGCATCCACTAGTTGTGTAACTCCAGAAGGAAGCGAGTCGTTTACCCATTGTTTTAGGCTCAAATCTCCAGTAAACATTTCATCACTAGGCCTCCTCCTTGTGAATGTTTCCATCATCACGATACCAAAACTGTAGACGTCACAACTTGTTGATACAAGTCCATCTTGTCCATACTCTGCAACGACAAGTGAGAAATCATCAGTTCAAAGTATTTCATAATAGTTCGACAGATAAATGATGATGTGAGAAAGATAAAGGCAATAGGAGAAATTTAGGTACCTGGCGCAATGTATCCAATGGTCCCAATAGTGTTAGTTTGTCTAAAACTATCCTCTGCACCTAACAATTTCGCAATCCCAAAATCACTTAAATG